CAACACTTACATTGTTTTTTATCTTTCTTATAAGGTTTATTTTTCTGTATATCATTTTTCCTTTTATAATATTTCCTTCCAGGTTTTATGTATTTTTTCTTGAAGTTTCTATATTTTTTAAACTTTCTATTTTTATATTTTCTTTTATTTCTTTTTTCTGAATTACATCCCCATCTTATAGGTTTTTCCATATCTTCACAACATATTCTAGTTAATTTTCCTGATTTTTTCAATAATTGTCTTTGTTGGCATATATATGCAAGTCTTTCAAATAAGAATTTTATTCTTGATCCTAGTATTCTAGGTATTCCTATATTTTCTTTAGTATATTTTTCAAATTCTATTTTAAAATATATCCCCTATGAACCTGGTAATTTATTATAATACATATCTTGATATACTTCTTGATTCTCATTACTGTAAAATTGAGTATAATAGTATTCCTTGAATTCACAAGTATATTCTTTAATTTTACACATATCACAAATTGTTAGATTAATTAACTTAACTCTTGCATTATCTTTTTCTCGTATTGCTTCCTCTTCATAATTTCTTAACCAATTTTCCCCTAAAAATTCATCTGCAATATATTCTACCAATCTTTCTATTCCTGGTTTATCTGACTTTATTATTTATGTTTGTACATTTCTTTTTATTAATGATTTTGTATCACTACTAATTCCTTCCCACCAATTTCTAACATTTCCTTCAAAAGATGCAATTAAAAAATCTATTCTCCTTTCAGTATTTTCCCATGTATCATCTTTATTATATAAAAAGAATAATATTATTGAGTCTGCCCAAGTTATTAAGACTTTCTTAGTATCTATTTTGCAATCTAAGTCTAATTTTGTTCCTCCATGATTAACAGGTTTATCATAATTATTATTTAATTCAAATCTATTACTGTATTTATTTCCTTTGGACGGTTGTTTATCTCTTATTTTATCATAAAATTGCCTATATGGTTTATTATACATTGGAGCATAGCTTTCATCTGGATCTATTGATTCTTGTTTAGAGGTTCCTACGGGATTAGGTCCTCCTCCAGTATTCATTAAGATTTGGTATTCATCATCTATACTTTCTAAACTTAAATGATCAAAATTATCTATAAGTAAATCTAATTCTTCATCCATCTTCTTTGTCCTGATTTTCTTCAAATTTTTGTTTACCTAATATTTTTTCTCTAGATTCTTCTTCTTCTATTATTTTAGGTAATATATTTTTTCTGAACTCATCATCCATGCTTCCTGTTTCTATTATTATATTTTTCCTATCAATATGTTTTTTCCCTATTCTAGTTATTTCTTTTTCTATAAATTTTTTATCTACTCTATTATTCTTTTCTTCATTTTCTTTTAATTTTCTGACTTCAAGTTTCAAT